ATACCATTTTCCGTTAAGTAATCGTTTTGTATAAAAGGAAATATCGCCTACTCAGTTTCATTCAGCGGTGCCAAAAATGTTATAAATGAGCGACCGCCAACTTTTCTAAGAGGAGAATAATGCCAGACTGTGCTTAATAAACTAGTGCCCTAGAAGTTCATTATCGATGTTGCAATCTTTTCTGATTCTGAAAGGAGACCGCCTACGTCGGCCCCGTTCCTGTCTCGTCCTCCCGGGCTCTGAGTGAAAAGGCCGTCACTTGGGCAGAGCTCTACGTACTAAACTTTAAAAAGGAACTTTTTAGTTCCATTTATTTATTTATTTATTCACTCCGGTGCGCGGCTGATCGCTCCCCCTCTCAGGTTTCTGGGGGCCGAGTCCCACCGCGCCACCGTCGGCCGCCTCCCGCCCGCGGCGGCCCTGCTCAGCTCCGCTCCGCTTCGCGCGGCGATGGCAGCCGTGGAGCGCCGCAGGGCAAACTCCGGTCAGGAGCTGCTCCCGAGCCGCGTCGCTCCCTGCACCCCACGGTGCCCCCTGAGCTGGGACCGCGCTCTGCGCCCGCGGAGGCTGCGCGATCCCCGGCCGTGCCGTGCTGCGCCGTGCCGTGCCGCCGCCGCGCGGGACTGCGCGGGTGCGCGCCCGGAGGAGCGCGCCCGCGTGTGTGCGTGCACCTCCAGCAGATAATTGGAGAGGGTTTCCAGAAGGTGGAAAATGTCACCTGATTCACACTGAACTTTTTAAATCTCCCCACCCCCGAGCAGACACACACACACATTAGGAGACCGCCCACCGCAGACAGCTAAGACCCCCGTATAGATTTAAAGAGAGACTGCATTCAGAGCCTGACGTTCATTCAATAGAGCGATCATAAGCAGGCTGGCTGGTGCTCGCTCCGTCTCCCTACTCCCCTTCACGCTGTTCCTGTGTCTCTCTCACTCCCTGCTACGTTGAGGATGTTAAATCAGAGGATCCACCCGGGCATGCTCGTACTCCTGATGTTTCTCTACCACTTTATGGAGGATCACACAGCGCAGGGTAAGACCACAGCGTTTATTCGGAAGTATGTTTTCTTATTAGTGTTGTTATTATTACTCTTATTTTCCGTCTTTCGTGCGCTGCTTACTTCGCTGAGGTGTTACACGCCTCTCTCCAAGGTCCAACCGGACAGAAGTTAGCAGCGGGCGCGGGACTGCTCGGGAAGGGGCGCAGAGGTGTCACGTAGGTTTCCTTCGGACCGGACCTTCCCTGCTCTGCATGGGCACGGAGGGCACAGGAGGATGTTTATTGGCACTCCTCGTGATTCTGCGGCGTGAATGAGGAGCAGCATCGCGGGGAACTTTTCCTGCGCTCATGTCCCGAACGAGTGCTCAAAGTTTGTCGGTAATTTAGCTCAGATTTTTGTCTCGCCTTCTGACAGAAGGGGAGGTGATGTGGAGCCCTGGGCGCACAGCTGACACTTTCAGAAAACGTGGTGGTCACTTTCCGGGCATTGCCTCAATATTGGGATTTCCTTCCCTCCCCCCACCCCCTTTGTGTGTGTGTAAGTGTGAATAAGTGTTGTAAATTCTCCTGCTATGAGGAGTGTGCCTAAATAAGCTTGCTTACTTTTATTATCCTTTCCCATGCGAACAAAACAATCCTGAACCTAATAGTGACAACTCTTAAGAGCCCTCTTTCGACACTAGGAAATACTGATTTTCAGTTTGGGGTGTTTTTGCTTTTTCCACCTCATATTGATGTATCCCAACCTTCTTGTCTTACTGCTGCTGGGTTTTCATTTTTTTCCCATTTCTTCACCCTCTCCCGACCTAGAGCAGAAGTTAATGTAGGCAACTGTAAGACGCAAAACTTTTTTTTTTTTTTTTTCTTTAAGGGCGTTGTTTGTTCCATGTTTTGTAGCCGGGGGAAGGGGGGGGGAGGCTTGGGGGGTGTTCCCCGCGCCCAGCGGCGCCCCGGCGGGCCGGGCCCGGCCCTGGTGCGGTGCGCTCCGTGGGAGGAAGAAGCAAGATAGAGCCCTCGCTGGATGGGCACCAGAATCAATTGGTATCGAGTCGCTGGAGGAGTCATATTGGTTATTCACAAGAGACTTATCCCAACCCAAACTCTCCAGCTAAAATGGGGGGGGTCGGGGGGGGGGGGTGCTTGGACTCATGTTCTTGGCTTGACTCCACGAATAACAGGGATACCAGTGGGGAAAAAAAAAAAAAAAAACCAAAAAAAAAAAACCACTTTATCCGGTTTGAGGACAGTGTGCTTTCCTCTGAAACGCTCGCGGGAGAAACAGCACCTCCAACTTTTCCAGCGTGATCGATTCTGAAAAACTCCGCAGGGAGCTCTCCCTCGGGGTGCCCTCCCGTTTCGTGTACTTTGCTCACTTTATTTTTCTTTTTTCTGGTCTTTGTTGTCGGAGGTCTGCTGAGTTATTTTAGCCAAGGGAAGACGTTTGTTAATAGAAGCAGCGAAATGTGGAGATTTCGAAAGAGTTCGCTCACAGCGAATGTTCCCAGTCGGTGCGGATTGCAAAATGTGCTGGGGCTGGGGTGCGTGCGGCACTAACAATGCTGCCGGGCGGCCGCGTCGGAGAGGGCAGGGGGAGGAGGGAGGAACTACAAGCGCGACTTTCTTTTTATTCCCTTTTAAATGCACGTCCTTTTCAAGCCTCTGTCACGTGCCGGCAGTGCTCCTTCTGCTCTACATATGGAGTAAATACCTCGGAAAACTGCCTCGTGCTGTTCTGATCCGGTCTTTTTTCTTTCTGATGTATATATTATTATTGTTATCTCACCCAAGCGGGCCGGGCCAGCTGCGGGTTGTGGAACGGGACAAATAAAGCCAGCAGTCCAGTAAAAGTCAGTGCGAGGCGCGCGCGGTGCCCGTGCGGCTGCTGGTCCCGGCACTGACCCGGCCCGGTGCGCCCCTGTCCCCCGCAGCTGGGAACTGCTGGCTCCGGCAGGCGCGGAACGGCCGCTGCCAGGTCCTCTACAAGACCGACCTCAGCAAAGAGGAGTGCTGCAAGAGCGGCCGCCTGACGACCTCGTGGACGGAGGAGGACGTCAACGACAACACGCTCTTTAAGTGGATGATTTTTAATGGGGGAGCCCCTAACTGCATCCCGTGCAAAGGTGAGAGGGCCGGGAACCGCGCGAGTTCGGGGTGGGAGATGAGGGCCTGCAGACGACAACGCTGTCCTCGTGCTGCCTGCCCCCCGAGGCTTGAGGGCTATCCCAAAGCAGCGCCAGGGATAGGGGGACTGCTTCTTCACATCCGTGCAGGTCAGTGGGAGATGGGGAGGGGGATCTTTGTGCATGGCCCTCCTGGCTCCAGGATTTCTGTCCAGGTCAGTTTCCTGCATGGTAGCAGTGTGGGGAGGGGAGAGCGGGGGAGGGGGAGGATGCTGTCTTTTTATGCCTGGGGGTCACGGTGTCTTCTTTTCTTTGGGCAATTTTGACACCAAGTCTCTTCTGCACACTTGGTACTACAGTGGTGCCTCTTTTCTTCCATCAGAAACATGTGAGAACGTGGACTGTGGACCTGGGAAGAAATGTAAAATGAACAAGAAGAACAAACCTCGGTGTGTTTGTGCTCCGGATTGCTCTAATATCACTTGGAAGGGCCCTGTGTGTGGCTTAGATGGGAAAACCTACAGGAACGAGTGTGCCCTTCTCAAAGCCAGATGTAAAGAACAGCCTGAACTTGAAGTCCAATATCAGGGCAAGTGCAAAAGTAGGTTTGCAAATCTCATCCAATCTCCATCAAATTGCATAGGGTGTGTGTCTGAGTGTAGGGAGGAGGAGCTGACATACTCCTCCAGAGTAACCAGAGTGATGTTCCAACCATGCTCACAGACCAGGACATGGGTGGATTGATAGAGTTATCCACAGGTTAGCAGAACTTGTGTCCCTCATGCTACCCTGAGATGGAAAGGTCTCCAGCGGCCCTTAAACGAGGACCATTGCTGAAGGCTTTTGTCTGATTGTTCGTGTCATTCTGTCACCCATTCACTCCTCCCTGGAGTGCCCACATCTTCTATTAATCATTTTTTGTTTCCATCTTTATTTCAGAGACCTGTAGGGATGTTTTATGCCCAGGCAGCTCCACGTGTGTGGTGGATCAAACTAATAACGCCTACTGTGTGACATGCAATCGAATTTGCCCTGAGCCTACCTCCCCTGAGCAGTATCTCTGTGGAAATGATGGCATAACTTATGCCAGTGCCTGCCACTTGAGAAAAGCGACCTGCCTGCTGGGCAGATCCATTGGATTAGCCTACGAGGGAAAATGCATCAGTAGGTATCTCGGTTGGAGGGATAAATGTAGGGGGAGCTTGCAGACTCATCTGTTTTATCACCTTGCGTGGAAGTGGATGGATGGATGGGTGGATGGATGGATGGATTGTTGGAAGGGGAAGGGTGGCAGGAAAGGGGGGAGGAACAGAGTAAGTTTGTGCTTTGGAGCAGGTGAGACTCCTAGTAGCCTTGGTTTGTTTTCCCCTCCAGGAGAAAGTAGAGCCAGAGTGAGCTTTGCTCTGGGGAAAAAAGAAAAAAAGAAAAAGAAAAAGAAAAGAAAAAAAACTGCTAAAGGGAGTAGAGAGTTTGATCCTGCTTCTCTTGCTGTCAGCGTGGGTGCTGACATTAGCGTCTAAGAGAGAAGTACCCACCATTAGGTAGATGATGACATGGTTACGGCATAACAAGGTCATGATGTTCAGTGGATCTGGATTCCTGGAAATAATTGTCTTCAAGTGATCTTAACAAAGCTTGTATTAACGTAATTGGAAACATCTGATTACTTCTTCCTCTTCAAAAATATTACAGAGTTTGGGGACAGTTAATGGGTGAATATAGGAAAATAACCTCTGTGCATCCTGACATTTTGCACTGTGATTTTGAGAAAGAAGAGATAGTGAAGTATGTTGAAAGGAAGCAACATTAGAGCAACCTCTGCCCCTCCAAATTGCTGGTGAGATGCTGGGGAATCTCATGCTGCTTTTGGTTGGCACAGCCTGAGGTGAATTCCCTTTCCAGTACTGTAGACAGCAGCTTTATGTGGGTTAGTTTAAAAATAATTGATCTGGAAATGCTGAATGCGTTGACAAATTCTCCACTTATCACTAATTTGGTGAGCTGAATTTCCGCTGACAGCAAATGGAGCAGGAGGGCCCTGTGCAATAGGCAAACGTAATTGCATACTGCTGAGGCCAAGCTCCACTGGCACAGTTGTCCTTCAACCCCAATGTACAGATGGGCAGTGGTGTCCAAGGGTCTGCTTGATTAAGGTGGGCAAGAATCATTGCAGCTACTGCATTTTAGCTTTGTCTATTCATAGTTCATTGGGGGAAAAGGATTTGGGGGCTGGTAGGGATTGCTTTTCTTTGTTTCCTTTGTCTGTTCGCTTACCTCTAGTATTCCTTGTGTATTTTTAGAAGCGAAGTCCTGTGAAGATATTCAGTGCAGTGCTGGGAAGAAATGCTTGTGGGATTTTAAGGTTGGCAGAGGTCGATGTGCCCTCTGTGATGAGCTCTGCCCTGAAAGCAAGTCAGACGAGGCAGTCTGTGCCAGTGATAACACGACTTATCCGAGCGAGTGTGCCATGAAAGAAGCAGCCTGCTCCATGGGCATGCTTCTAGAAGTAAAGCACTCTGGATCTTGCAACTGTAAGTGAGATTTTTATCTCTGCAGACACCTAAGGCTTCTGAAGGCAATCCCTATTTAATAAAGACTTACATCGTTAAACCTAAGAAAGCTCGATTTAGAGATTCAAGATATGGCACATGTGCCATGTGAGTATGGGTGTATCATGCGTGCACTTTGGTTACTGATAAAAAACAGTAGATCTCCAACAACCAGTGTGCATTCAAGTTGGGGTGTTGGGTCTTTACTGAGGACAAGTCATTTTATCAGAAAGGGGTTGCCCTAGGAGCATAATTCTAGAGACTTTTTCCTAATTTGTCTGCTCTCATGTGCTTTGCTGATTGCTTTATTAACACTTGGTAAACTCTTAACTGCCCAAAAGAATGAGCCTGATAGCACATGGGCACCTGGTTTAGCACAGTTGCATCTACTAACTCTGAATGAAGGACAAAAAGTAGTTAAACCTAGAACACAAGAGCGCTTTTTATTTGATTACAGGAATCTGCCAATAAAACCTGAGCCATTGATTCTTCAGAACTTTCTGCAGTTATGACTTCATAGATTATGTATAAAAACCCTTATTGCATAACAGCAGATGCCAAAGAGCATCTCACTACAAGTCGCATAAAATGCAACGCTGTATTATGGCTGTTCAGAGGGCTTTGAAAACATGCACTGAGCTGCTTCTGCGCTGTTGTTGTCCTTATTTAAACAACAGCTCCCCTGTATTCCCCCATCTAGCCATTAATGAAGACCCAGAGGAAGAAGAGGAAGATGAAGACCAGGACTACAGCTTTCCTATATCTTCCATTCTAGAGTGGTAAAACTTCCATCACTATTGGGACAGCCATTGGGCACGAAATCAATGTCCATACTGTAAATAAGTGTATGCTTATTTATTTTGGGGAGAAAAAAAAAAAAGTATACATATAGTTGAGTCTCGTAGACATTTATTTATACTGTGTCATGTTTTATAATTTATACATAAAATGTCTGGTTGACTGTACACCTTGTTTTTTGAAGAAGTTTATTCGTTACGGGAAGAGCAGTGTTATTTATTGTGAGGTCTCTTGCTTGTAAAGTAAAGCTTTTCTTTTTTCTTGTGAACTATGAAAGTCCATTCCTTAAAACTTACCTAAAAAGATGGTTTCATCTTTTTGTTTTATTGGGGTTATCTTTTTTCCACTTTAAAAAACTTTGCATGTTGGTTTCTGTTATGTTTATTTATTGGATTTTCTTCTTGCCGGTTCTGTACATAAAAGATCCCTCGGGTTTTTGTTTACAAGGAATCTTGACTGACCAAAAGGCATTGTAACTGACTTAAATATACTTCCAGGGTGCAGTGAGGCGATCTTTAAGGAAACTTCTCCCACTTCACTTTTCTCTGCTTCTGATCACATCATGTCCTGATGCGATCTCAATGTGTTTAGCATATATACTGTACTATAAGAATTCCAGACCCAAAGAAATCGGATTATGAAGGTTGTTAATAGCTACAGAGCTCACTGTAATAAGAATAAGGGTTTTATTTTATTTTTATTCTTCTCTTTTGTAACACGCGTGTTTATCAGGTGTTTCCTTTAAGATGGTCTTGCAGTACAACCTTCAAAGTTTTGTTTTGCCAATCAGCATGTCACTAAAAGTTATATCAAAGCTTTATCAGTTCAAGTTTCTTGCTTTTCATAATAGTTTTTTTTTTTTTCTGATGCAATTTTATATTTTCAAACATGGCGAGTTAAATATAAATTCATTTAAATATATAGTTTTGTACTTTTCTACCATGTAAATGTGCAATGTATATAAAAGTTATAATGTGTATTTGTAAATAAATGATGAGTGAAAAAATAAAAAAAATGGAATTTTCCCTAGACGCAGTCTTCAGCTTTATCTTCTAAAAGGTTCTGGTGCAAAGAAGATCTACTAGTAGTAGGGGAATGGAAGCTGGTGCCTAATGTAGCACTAAAATGCATTGACTAAGGCAATCTAAGTAAGCTTTCTAGTTACTTAGATTCATGAAACCCCATTTTTCATACAGAAGCAACATCTCATGTCTGTTGATACTACTTCGTTTTTAATCTGTAAGTACTCTGATGGATAGGAAGACGTTCAGCATTTTTGTTTCCCTCCCCATTGAGAATAAAGTATCTGTTGCTTCTTGGACATCTTTAATTTGTGCATTTCTAAGAGATTTTGAACAGACACTTGAAATTTTGCTAAGATTCAGATCCATTTTAGGGGGTTTCAAGTTGCAGAATCATTTTAGATAACTGATAGGAAGGGCAAATGATGGCCTAGTTGCCCAAATTCAAGATGTGTAACAATTCCCACAGTAGACAAAAAAAAAAAAAAAAAAAAGGTATATCAAAGAGTACATATAACTTAGAAATTCATCACTCTTGAGAGGAAGGTCAATTCAGAAATTCTGTTTAGTGAACCAATATTTAGATTGGAGGCACTGTTAAAAGTGGATACGGCTGCAGTGAACTCAGAGGAAAGGTAGAACAGCAGGGATCAAAATGTTTTTGTGTGTTCCCAGGGTTAGAGTTTTCTCTCAAACAAGGCTCCACTTGTCAAAATTTCTCTTATCATGCTGCACAGAACTTAAGAAGGTACTTAAGCACCTTAGTAAGTAGCACTTCACTGAGTTGAGGTTTGAAGCAGAGATTCACTTACTCGTTTTGTTTGAATATAAATCATGTTCCTGTTATAGTCTTCTGTGTATTTTTCACTACACAGTAAACTGTAATTTGTTATGGGTTGTTTAGCATTACCTAAAGCAAATATAATTTATTCATCTGTGAAGACTACAGACATGCATTCATAATATTATATTCAAAATGATAGCAAAATTCTGCCCTTCCTCTTCCTGTTGCTTCGTTTAGACAAGTAGTCTCTTTGGAAGGAAGAGCATGATGAGAGGAGCAAAGTGAGCAGGATTTTAGTCTCCTGAGGGCAATGGAACCCAGAATAAAAGAAACGAAGGCTAGGAGAACAGAGGGATAAAAACAGACCCTATCTGAAAATCTCTTGGAGAACTAATGAATTCATGACAATGAAATAGAGATGAAATGCTTAATAGATGTGGTGAGTATGAGAAGAGATTTTTCTCAAATTCAAACAGGTGCCAGCTACTTCATTTCCAAAAAAATGGCAGCATTAAAACACTGCTTATAATTGTAAATAAATTTACATGTCTTAAAGAAAGACTGCAGCAGAGCAGGATTTCTGGGTTGCAACTTTATGCCTTGCTTCACAAAATAACTGGGAGAAAGTCATTGATAGAAGAATTCAAAAAGGCATCAAGAATGCTATGAAGCTATATTTGCACACCTGTATGTGTATTAAGCAGACATAAAAAATCTGTATAAGAATTATGCTTATAAAGTTGTCTGAGAGTTTTGCTACAGGATTTTCCGTTGCTGCTGCTGTTTTTATACAGCTGAAATCTCAGTACCTACTGGCAGCAAACCTGAATGCACTGTACTGGTGAGGTCCCTCTTGAGAGGCTTCACCAGGCAAGCATCTTTGAAGAGCGCCTAAAAGGCACCAACTTCAGCATAGCAGCCCAGAGACTTCTGCTAGAAACATATCCAGGGGTTATGGCAGCACAACTTCCAGTGCTTTGCCTAACATCATTCTTGGAGTTAAGGTGCTTGCTGATGAAGAAGGAGATGCAGATTCATTGCCTATCTTCCCGAGGAGAGCGTTCCCACATTCACCATCAGCTCAGGGAGAAGCTCAGAGAGCTAGCTGTCTGTCATGCCTCCTGAAGCCATACTTCTCTATCAGAAAGGAAGCAAGATTCATTGAGAGAGGATAATTTGCAACCCTAATGGTGCTCCTTTTGAAGAGGAAGTCTTGGGTTCTCGCCCCAGGGTTTGCCTACACATTTTGCATTTGTAATTGAGTAACCTACACAAATAATGCTTGAAGCAGAGGCCAGAATCCAGGTTACCTCCCCTTTTCCTTCCCCCAGTATGTAAGTGCCTCCATCCTTGAGCTATGAAATCATGCTTAACCCTCTGCTTAAATCAAGATTACAAATCTCACATCTCTTTCTACACACTGAGTCATAGCTACAACAGGAGAGTCTTTACTTTTGTCTTCCTTCTATTCCAGAATTGTATTAGGGAACTTCCTGAGTGTGGAAATCTGATCTTGATTCCCTCAGTCCTAGTAAGGTGATGAATCTTTGTTTCCAGTTCTTGTCTTTTTTTTTTTTTCCTTTTTTTTTTTTTTTTTTTTAACGGATGCATGAATTTGATTTCTTGCTCTGATGCCATCTTGCAGAAGCTTCTAAATCCAGAAGAGTGTTCCAGAATGTTCAGAAATATCCTTCTCTTCAGTGTTTTCTGTCAACTGACATATGCATTCTCCTTACTGTAAATCACATTTCTGAAAACCCTCATTCTCCACGGCATGTACTTGAATACTGAATACCAGGCCTGTGAGCTCCATTCATAAACGCAGGCACTTACATGTCAGGCCCAGTAACATGAAGTAGAGCTCGCATGTTGGAAAACAGAAACCCATACTCTGGTACTTAAATAAAATCAGCCCAATTCCAAGAGACTCAGCTTGAGGCATTTGAATGATAAGAATATTGCTTCTAAAGTCTTGGATCCCAAATGTATTTGTCCGTGCAATACATACAAGTGAGCACTGACAATTTTGATCACACTCAAAAGCATTCCTGATACCTAAGTCCACATGATAGACTTAAGAGCAATATAATGAAACTCTTTTGCACCTTTTACCTCTCTCCTTGCTTTCTGCCTTCTAATGCACCTCACTAAAACTACATTCCAAGCCCCACAGCAAATTTCAAACAGCTGCCTTTCTTTTTCTTTTTCTTTTCTTTCTTTTTTTTTTTTTTTTATGACATAAAAATGTTTCCTTCTTTCCCTCCAAATGGGAATCAGGTGAAATTAAATTTCAGTACACCATTCTGTTCTCTAGGCAGTGACATTTTACTATACAATGAATCACCAGCACAGAAACATCTGTATATTATCCCTTTGAAGAATGAGGATTCCATGCTTTCTGGTAAAGCAAAGCATTTGCACATAGACCAAGAGGTTCACAAAGTATCAGATTTTAAATTCATAAGTCCCTAAAGATAAGGCAGTTACATTTTTTTTGTTTGATATTACGATTTCAAGGCATGTCAGACTCAATATGGCACCAGGAGTCTGGGAAGTATATGAAAACTTGTTAACTCACAATTTAACATTTTATAGTTATTTGCTTTTCTGATAGACTTAAATAAATAATGGTCATTAATGGATGGCTTTTGCTGATGTTTATTTGGGATTATCTGTATAATTTGGCTTCATTACCACTAAATAATGTAGCCAATGAAATTACCCATAGAGAGGAGAAATATGGTGTGAAAGCAAGGTGAAAACCATCACGTTCAGAGACTGATTTGGAATTAAAACTACACGTATGGCTCATTTTCTGCTCATTTATTGATACTTTATTTTGATGTCTTAAACTTAAATGAATTTATTCAACTTTGTCATGGGATTGAAGAGCACTGATGAATCAGAAAACTGAGAAGGATCTTCACATTTTGATAACTACTTGTCAGGTTTTCTAGATGCAGTTACTGGATAATGAGTTTATGAAGGTGGTTCAGTGTAGATCTGAATGTATAAAGGCCCCTGAATTTCCACCTGTGCCAAACAGTAACAGCATGATAGCCCTGCAGTGCTTGCAGAGAAGTCGATGGATACTCAGAACTCCCCAGAATTGAAATCATTATGTTCACGTTCAAGAACTAAATTCTACTTACCTGGATCTAAAGATTGCTTTATTTTGAAATTAATCTTGGAACACTTCTTTATGACATGCTAGTGGTTCACAACAAATGCAGCTTATTTTTCTTTTTTTAAAATCAATATCCTTGGCAGCATGTTTTTTATGAAAAAAATACCACTTTTCATAAGTTTCAATATATTTCCTAATCATTTAGCAGTTTGGAATGGTGCCATTCTAGTAACATAGTTCCTATGAATCTTCTTCTGTATATCATGTTTTTTACTCTTACTTTAAGTTTCAAGCACTTCTAATTTTAAGAGACACCTAAAGTACAAGGATGATGTTGATCTATGCCCTTTGCTAGAAATTCATATGTGATACAAGTATGTTCTACTATTTGATTTTTGATTTAGAGGCATTGCTATGAAATCATAGGGCAATTCATATAAATGAAGCACATAGTTATAGAAGTCCTTAAACAGCATAGAAAAAAGTAACACATGATAAGAGAAACCAGCAGAGGCCCACCAGACTGTTCAGATTACTGACTTAACCATACAGTCTGAATAGGACTGCTTCTTCCCAGAGAGGGGAAGATTTGGGAGCAACATTCTGTCTATAAGAAGGTCATTGAGAAGGTAGAGCCAAGATGGAGCAGTGAATGGTGGCAGGACAAGAGACAGCTGGCATGAGATGAAACAAGAGAAGATCACAACAGCTATAAAGGAAGCTTCTTTCCCTATGAGGAGAATCAAGCAGATGACCTCCTGACATTCCTTCCAACCTGAATTATCCTATAATCCTGTGTAGAGTTAAGTTCATTTATTTTTAAGAATTACAGGCTCCAAAACCAGGATGGAATGTCCAGTTTAAAGAAAAAAACCAACACAATTCCTTGAGGAAATATCCATGGAACCATATCACCACATCTGTTGGAAGCAATTGTCAGGAGGAACATAGGCTATTCCTTCTTTAATATGTTTTTCCTTTACACGATCCTTAAGTGATCCTAAAATTCCTCATAAATGCTATTTTCCCATTGATTTTACTGAAACTTTTTGCTGTGCAATGAAGGCTATATCTATTCAGTAAAATATTATTCATTTT